GTGAGCACCTCAACTTTACACTCATCCTCTGGTACAGGTAAGGGACCGTGCACACCATGTGAGCACCTCAACTTTACACTCATCCTCTGGTACAGGTAAGGGACCGTGCACACCATGTGAGCACCTCAACTTTACATTGGAATCATTTGGTACAGGTAAGGGACCGTGCACACCATGTGAGCACCTCAACTTTACACTCATCCTCTGGTACAGGTAAGGGACCGTGCACATCATGTGAGCACCTCAACTTTACACTCATCCTCTGGTACAGGTAAGGGACCGTGTACACCATGTGAGCACCTCAACTTTACACTCATCCTCTGGTACAGGTAAGGGACCGTGCACACCATGTGAGCACCTCAACTTTACACTCATCCTCTGGTACAGGTAAGGGACCGTGCACACCATGTGAGCACCTCAACTTTACATTGGAATCATTTGGTACAGGTAAGGGACCGTGACCACCATGTAAGCACCTCAACTTTACACTCATCCTCTGGTACAGGTAAGGGACCGTGCACACATTGTGAGCACCTCAACTTTACACTCATCCTCTGGTACAGGTAAGGGACCGTGCACACCATGTGAGCACCTCAACTTTACACTCATCCTCTGGTACAGGTAAGGGACCGTGCACACCATGTGAGCACCTCAACTTTACACTCATCCTCTGGTACAGGTAAGGGACCGTGCACATCATGTGAGCACCTCAATTTTACATTGGAATCATTTGGTACAGGTAAGGGACCGTGCACACCATGTGAGCACCTCAACTTTACACTCATCCTCTGGTACAGGTAAGGGACCGTGCACATCATGTGAGCACCTCAACTTTACACTCATCCTCTGGTACAGGTAAGGGACCGTGCACACCATGTGAGCACCTCAACTTTACACTCATCCTTTGGTACAGGTAAGGGACCGTGCACACCATGTGAGCACCTCAACTTTACACTCATCCTCTGGTACAGGTAAGGGACCGTGCACACCATGTGAGCACCTCAACTTTACACTCATCCTCTGGTACAGGTAAGGGACCGTGCACATCATGTGAGCACCTCAACTTTACATTGGAATCATTTGGTACAGGTAAGGGACCGTGCACACCATGTGAGCACCTCAACTTTACACTCATCCTCTGGTACAGGTAAGGGACCGTGCACATCATGTGAGCACCTCAACTTTACACTCATCCTCTGGTACAGGTAAGGGACCGTGCACACCATGTGAGCACCTCAACTTTACACTCATCCTCTGGTACAGGTAAGGGACCGTGCACATCATGTGAGCACCTCAACTTTACATTGGAATCATTTGGTACAGGTAAGGGACCGTGACCACCATGTGAGCACCTCAACTTTACACTCATCCTCTGGTACAGGTAAGGGACCGTGCACACCATGTGAGCACCTCAACTTTACACTCATCCTCTGGTACAGGTAAGGGACCGTGCACACCATGTGAGCACCTCAACTTTACACTCATCCTCTGGTACAGGTAAGGGACCGTGCACATCATGTGAGCACCTCAACTTTACACTCATCCTCTGGTACAGGTAAGGGACCGTGCACACCATGTGAGCACCTCAACTTTACACTCATCCTCTGGTACAGGTAAGGGACCGTGTACATCATGTGAGCACCTCAACTTTACACTCATCCTCTGGTACAGGTAAGGGACCGTGCACACCATGTGAGCACCTCAACTTTACACTCATCCTCTGGTACAGGTAAGGGACCGTGCACACCATGTGAGCACCTCAACTTTACACTCATCCTCTGGTACAGGTAAGGGACCGTGCACATCATGTGAGCACCTCAACTTTACATTGGAATCATTTGGTACAGGTAAGGGACCGTGCACACCATGTGAGCACCTCAACTTTACACTCATCCTCTGGTACAGGTAAGGGACCGTGCACATCATGTGAGCACCTCAACTTTACATTGGAATCATTTGGTACAGGTAAGGGACCGTGCACACCATGTGAGCACCTCAACTTTACACTCATCCTCTGGTACAGGTAAGGGACCGTGCACATCATGTGAGCACCTCAACTTTACACTCATCCTCTGGTACAGGTAAGGGACCGTGCACATCATGTGAGCACCTCAACTTTACATTGGAATCATTTGGTACAGGTAAGGGACCGTGACCACCATGTGAGCACCTCAACTTTACACTCATCCTCTGGTACAGGTAAGGGACCGTGCACACCATGTGAGCACCTCAACTTTACACTCATCCTCTGGTACAGGTAAGGGACCGTGCACACCATGTGAGCACCTCAACTTTACACTCATCCTCTGGTACAGGTAAGGGACCGTGCACACCATGTGAGCACCTCAACTTTACACTCATCCTCTGGTACAGGTAAGGGACCGTGCACATCATGTGAGCACCTCAATTTTACATTGGAATCATTTGGTACAGGTAAGGGACCGTGCACACCATGTGAGCACCTCAACTTTACACTCATCCTCTGGTACAGGTAAGGGACCGTGCACATCATGTGAGCACCTCAACTTTACACTCATCCTCTGGTACAGGTAAGGGACCGTGCACACCATGTGAGCACCTCAACTTTACACTCATCCTCTGGTACAGGTAAGGGACCGTGCACATCATGTGAGCACCTCAACTTTACACCCATCCTCTGGTACAGGTAAGGGACCGTGCACACCATGTGAGCACCTCAACTTTACACTCATCCTCTGGTACAGGTAAGGGACCGTGCACACCATGTGAGCACCTCAACTTTACACTCATCCTCTGGTACAGGTAAGGGACCGTGCACACCATGTGAGCACCTCAACTTTACACTCATCCTCTGGTACAGGTAAGGGACCGTGCACATCATGTGAGCACCTCAACTTTACATTGGAATCATTTGGTACAGGTAAGGGACCGTGCACACCATGTGAGCACCTCAACTTTACACTCATCCTCTGGTACAGGTAAGGGACCGTGCACATCATGTGAGCACCTCAACTTTACATTGGAATCATTTGGTACAGGTAAGGGACCGTGCACACCATGTGAGCACCTCAACTTTACACTCATCCTCTGGTACAGGTAAGGGACCGTGCACATCATGTGAGCACCTCAACTTTACATTGGAATCATTTGGTACAGGTAAGGGACCGTGCACACCATGTGAGCACCTCAACTTTACACTCCTCCTTTGGTACAGGTAAGGGACCGTGCACATCATGTGAGCACCTCAACTTTACATTGGAATCCTTTGGTACAGGTAAGGGACCGTGCACACCATGTGAGCACCTCAACTTTACACTCATCCTCTGGTACAGGTAAGGAACCGTGCACATCATGTGAGCACCTCAACTTTACATTGGAATCCTTTGGTACAGGTAAGGGACCGTGCACACCATGTGAGCACCTCAACTTTACACTCATCCTCTGGTACAGGTAAGGGACCGTGCACATCATGTGAGCACCTCAACTTTACATTGGAATCCTTTGGTACAGGTAAGGGACCGTGCACACCATGTGAGCACCTCAACTTTACACTCATCCTCTGGTACAGGTAAGGGACCGTGCACATCATGTGAGCACCTCAACTTTACATTGGAATCCTTTGGTACAGGTAAGGGACCGTGCACACCATGTGAGCACCTCAACTTTACACTCATCCTCTGGTACAGGTAAGGGACCGTGCACATCATGTGAGCACCTCAACTTTACACTCATCCTCTGGTACAGGTAAGGGACCGTGCACACCATGTGAGCACCTCAACTTTACACTCATCCTCTGGTACAGGTAAGGGACCGTGCACACCATGTGAGCACCTCAACTTTACATTGGAATCCTTTGGTACAGGTAAGGGACCGTGCACACCATGTGAGCACCTAAACTTTACACTCATCCTCTGGTACAGGTAAGGGACCGTGCACACCATGTGAGCACCTCAACTTTACACTCATCCTCTGGTACAGGTAAGGGACCGTGCACATCATGTGAGCACCTCAACTTTACACTCATCCTCTGGTACAGGTAAGGGACCGTGCACACCATGTGAGCACCTCAACTTTACATTGGAATCATTTGGTACAGGTAAGGGACCGTGCACATCATGTGAGCACCTCAACTTTACACTCATCCTCTGGTACAGGTAAGGGACCGTGCACATCATGTGAGCACCTCAACTTTACACTCATCCTCTGGTACAGGTAAGGGACCGTGCACACCATGTGAGCACCTCAACTTTACACTCATCCTCTGGTACAGGTAAGTGACCGTGCACACCATGTGAGCACCTCAACTTTACACTCATCCTCTGGTACAGGTAAGGGACCGTGCACACCATGTGAGCACCTCAACTTTACACTCATCCTCTGGTACAGGTAAGGGACCGTGCACACCATGTGAGCACCTCAACTTTACACTCATCCTCTGGTACAGGTAAGGGACCGTGCACACCATGTGAGCACCTCAACTTTACATTGGAATCATTTGGTACAGGTAAGGGACCGTGCACACCATGTGAGCACCTCAACTTTACACTCATCCTCTGGTACAGGTAAGGGACCGTGCACACCATGTGAGCACCTCAACTTTACACTCATCCTCTGGTACAGGTAAGAGACCGTGCACATCATGTGAGCACCTCAACTTTACACTTCAGTCATATTAAATATTACATTATAAAACATCACTTTGCGACACCTCGTATTTTAAGACATGCGAAATATATATTTCACTCTCTCAGTATGACATACTAATAACACAATATAAAGAAATTATCTACCTCATAAAGGAGAACACACTTTCTTTACCCCCATCTTCTACGCTTAAAATAGCGTCCGCTCCCATCTACTTTTAAATGGTGAACTTGAATTTGTTTACAAAATTAATTACTATTTTATTACTGCACCTAGATCACTTTAGTTACGTGCGCCATTTTTGTAGCTATTGCAAAAGAAAAAAAAATAATAATCATTTTACTGGTTTCTTTTACAATGTTTATTTTTTTTTTTAGAAAAACAATCTCAATACAAGGCGGTGCGGGGGTTGATTGTAGCAGGTCTGATTGTGGGAGTATGTGGATTCCTGACCGCTTTAGGTTTCATCATTGACGCTGTGAAAGGCAGAGGCGTGAAAAGTATAACATTATTACGATCTTCATTAGTACTTAATCCATTAGCTGGTAAGAAAAAAATATTTCATTTTACTTATTATCTACTCTAATTAAAAATCGCGAACTGATTTTTATATGATTTTGTAGTGTTTTGATTAAGATGATGCGACTAAGTGTTAAGTGTCAAAAAAAAGCGTAGTTTATCAGTCTAATACAATTAACCCAGTTCCACACATAGGCTAGTATTCTTAGAAACTACGTTTCAAGAACTAGCATATTTTCTTATTTCTTCTGTGGTTATACAATAAAGCGGGGTTATCTATCGTTTTAGTTTTAGGTCTGTAAAATCGGGTGAAGGCTAGTAATGTGAAAGAAAGGTGACTGATTACTGTTTAGTAATTATTTCACATTTTTAGGAGGATTTATGTTTTAAAAGTTACAAAAATGTTTCATGTAGGCCTACTTGTTTTAAATTTTTTTTATTCAAAACTTTCAGTAACAAATAAAGACTAGTGATGTTTTCATCATATGCAACCAGTGTTTCTTCCAGACTTTCTATTGGGGGTGGTACTTGAAATTTTCGGGGAGGGGGGCGGACTAAAATTTCCGGGGGGGGGGGGCAGACATTGTTAAGTCTATTTCTATGAAAAAAATTCCATTTCGTACGAGGGGGGGGGGGCTTTCTTCGGTGGTGGGGGGGGGGGGGGGGTCTGCACCGAAAAGATGCCTGGAAGAAACACTGGTTGCAACTGAGCTCGTTTTTCAGCAACCATCTTGCTTAAAGTCATTTTTAGCTCAATTTCCATACTGACAATTGCGATTATTAATTGGTTATTTCTGTGTGGATGGATGGATGTGTGTCCGCAGCTTTAAGTCGTATCTCCTCCTCAACGAAGCAACATCGAGGGCTAGTTCCAAAAGCAAATATGTTAAGCAAGTTCGAGGATGATTGTGGGCCAAAAAAATTCCCGGAATTCCTTCCTTGATTTCCCGGAAAAGCCAAAAAAAAAACTCGAAAAAATGCAGTTTTTGGCCCATATCTCGGCAACCAGACCACTTAGCGACTTGAAACATTTGCCAATCGATTCCTGCCATAATTTAGAACAATATTGCCGAAGAAAGTTTTCAAAAAATTGCGCTTAAATTGTCACTAGACTTTTTATTAACTTGTTTTGTTAACTTATTGTTAGAGATTCAGGGGAAAACACTCTTATTTACAGATGTTTATATTGCAAATCTTGCTCTTTAACACTGCTGTCTAAAGTTAATTTCTGGCTTATACTGATAGATCTATATCTACACATGTGTGAGCGGCTGGAGTGTATTTTTATTATTTGTAACTTAGAAGGCGAATGTATCGTTTCGTTTCATGTCGTAAATTGTTCGTATTTTTTTAGTTGTGTAGTCCCGTATTATGGCGCCGCTGTCTCACTGTTTATGTCCCTGGTTATAGCTAGTTTATATATATTTCGTTTATATTGTTGTCATTGTTTATAGTAAGTGTCTTTTTATAATATTCTGTTGCATGTTTCGTCGTGTTTGGTTTGTTATCCGTGAATTAGGGACTATTTGTTTACGTGTAGCGTGTGAGGTGTGTGGAAGTCGGGTTCCGGCTTGTTCAACTCTGTCTTTTGTGTGTAAAGCTGCGGTGAAGGGAGCAGGCAGTCTCTCTGGTCATCGGGTGAAAAGCATAGCAAATTCGCACCATCCAGCCATATTTATTTTGTGTTTGTGTTCGTCGTAGTCCTGGTAAGTTAGATATAAGTTTATTTCTTTACTATGTCTATTTTTTTGCTATGCTCTTTATTTTGGTTACTGGCCATAAGTTTTTTTGTGGTTGTCTTCTGACCGCCATTGTGGTCAGGCCATGTGGACTCAGATTCTGAGTTTTTATGGTCATTTTATTACTTTGTTGTATCTCTTGGGCTTGTGTGAAGCCAAGGATACTGCTTAATTATACTTGGCCCACAGTTATGGTTTACTCCTGGCTGTTGGGTTAAGTGGTATACGTATTCTATTGATTGTATCACTTGGGCTGGTGTTAAGCCAGGGATAAAGGTATTTTTAGACTTGACCCGCAGCTACGGTTTACTCCTGGCTGTTGGGTTAAGTAGTAGAGTTGTTACCTGACCCACAGTCACGGTTCATTCCGGACTGTCGGGTTTGGTTATAATATTGTTATCTTTATAGGGACCTTTCGCTTCCTGTGGTGATCATGTTGATCCCCAGGAGAGTGTTCGGTTCGTTCTAGTCACTGTGAGGTACACTTGTTTTTAATAGATTTTATTTTACTTAGCCTTTTGTTAGGCTGGTAACTGTGTTGAGCTAGTAGTTTGAGCTCAGTGTCCTGGTAGTGTTCCGGTTAATTGTTAAAGTATGTTCTGTGTGATCTACCTGCAGGTGGTGGAGATGTAATCTAGCCAGCCTGTGGTGAATGCTTTGTATATAACTTTTCTTTGTAAAGTAATTTATTTGTTTTCCTTTTTCTAGGACGAAGTCCGAAATTGGGTGTTTTGTTTGATGTAAAAAGTTTGTTTCGTTTGGTTCTGTTTTGTGGTAGTTTTTATCTATTCTTATTTTATAACTTTGGGTTCCATGCAATAAATTTTCAGGTCACCACACGGGTCCCACCAGAGGTGGCAATATCAACACCTCAACCTGTCCCTCTGGAGGCCCACTGCAATTTCTTGTCTTCGGCCTTTCCGGCCGATGTGAAGAATGCCCAACAGGTAGACTCAACCATCCAGGAGATCCTACCCTTCCTGACGCCCGGCCACAGATTACATTCCTCGACTTTATCACTCCCAGCCCAGATTCTCCTGAGACAAAAGTCGAGACTCAGGTTGAAGGACGGTATCCTACAGCGCACAGTGAAACTGCCAGGTCAAGGGGAAATCGCACCATGCGTTATCCCCAATCAACTACGACCAGAGGTACTCCGTCTAAGTCACAACGACAACGGCCACCAAGGACCAGACCGCTGCCTGCAGCTGTTACGGCAACGATGCTACTGGCCGGGGATGGAGGCAGATATACGCCAGTACTGCCAGGCATGTGACCGCTGCCAGCACGCGAAAATGACCAGTCTGAAGGTGCACCAGCCTAAAGGTCATCTTTTGGCCACCATGCCCCTAGAGGTTGTGGCAGTCGACTTCACCCTGATGGACAAAGCGGCAGACGGTACGGAGGATGTATTGATTCTCACCGATGTTTTCACCAAGTGGACAGTTGCTGTTCCGACGAAGGACCAGACTGCCAAAACCGTGGCGAAGGCCCTGGTGCAGAACTGGATAGTTCACTACGGTGTCCCCAGGCGACTACACTCGGACCAGGGCAAATGCTTTGGGGCAGCCGTAATACACGAACTGTGCGACCATTATGGGATACAGAGGTCCCGAACAACGGCATACCACCCCCAAGGAAACGGCCAAGCAGAGAGGTTCAACCGGACCCTACACGATCTGCTTCGGACCCTACCTGTTGACAAGAAGAAGGACTGGCCTCGGTACCTGACCGAGCTGGTCTTCCTGTACAATACAACCCCGCACTCGTCAACAGGTTTCTCCCCGTTCCAGCTGTTGTTTGGGCGTGAGGCAGCCATCCCCTTGGACCTATTTTTAAATCAAGCCCCTCCAGCAAACAGTGGTGGTACTGGAGATTACCTCCAGGGCCACCTAACACGACTGGCCAGCCTGCACAAACTAGCCCAGGAGAGGCTGCAAATAGAGGCCACCAAGAGGGACAGACAGGCCAATAACAGGCCAGCCGCTGAACTGGCCATAGGCGACCTGGTCCTGTTAAGGCAGCACCCCCTGGGCAGGCACAAAATGGCGGATCTGTACGGCCCGACAGTTTACGTCGTGGTCGAAGTACCTCCGATCACCGGCGGGTGTTACGCCATTAAGAAGAAAGATGGCCCTTCTGGCACCCGCCGGGTGGCCAGCACCCAGATCAGGAGATATGTGCCTCCCCGGGCTCAACCACCCTCCCCAAGGCCGGTCAAAGTGATACCGCCGGCTACTCCAGGCTACAGCCACATAATTTATAAGGTCCAATTGCCGGGGACCAGAGCAGCCGGTAACCCCACAGTACCTGACATACCTCTGCGTAGGTCGGTCAGGGAGCGCAGAGTCCCTAGTAGGCTAGACTTGTGATTGTACCCTGTGGGCTGATTTTTTTGACAATGTTTTTTTGTAAAATTTATGATCGTGCCCTGTGGGCTGATTTTTTTTGCAAGTTCTTTTGCAAAGTTTTGTTTTTTGTAACATGTATGATTAGGCCCTGTGGGCTGATTTTTTTGCAAGTTCTTCCTGCAAAGTTTTTTGTAACATTTATGATTATGCCCTGTGGGCTGTTTTTTTCAAGTTTGTTAGCTTGCGGTGACCGCAAGCTTTAGGGGGCGTGTATGTGAGCGGCTGGAGTGTATTTTTATTATTTGTAACTTAGAAGGCGAATGTATCGTTTCGTTTCATGTCGTAAATTGTTCGTATTTTTTTAGTTGTGTAGTCCCGTATTATGGCGCCGCTGTCTCACTGTTTATGTCCCTGGTTATAGCTAGTTTATATATATTTCGTTTATATTGTTGTCATTGTTTATAGTAAGTGTCTTTTTATAATATTCTGTTGCATGTTTCGTCGTGTTTGGTTTGTTATCCGTGAATTAGGGACTATTTGTTTACGTGTAGCGTGTGAGGTGTGTGGAAGTCGGGTTCCGGCTTGTTCAACTCTGTCTTTTGTGTGTAAAGCTGCGGTGAAGGGAGCAGGCAGTCTCTCTGGTCATCGGGTGAAAAGCATAGCAAATTCGCACCATCCAGCCATATTTATTTTGTGTTTGTGTTCGTCGTAGTCCTGGTAAGTTAGATATAAGTTTATTTCTTTACTATGTCTATTTTTTTGCTATGCTCTTTATTTTGGTTACTGGCCATAAGTTTTTTTGTGGTTGTCTTCTGACCGCCATTGTGGTCAGGCCATGTGGACTCAGATTCTGAGTTTTTATGGTCATTTTATTACTTTGTTGTATCTCTTGGGCTTGTGTGAAGCCAAGGATACTGCTTAATTATACTTGGCCCACAGTTATGGTTTACTCCTGGCTGTTGGGTTAAGTGGTATACGTATTCTATTGATTGTATCACTTGGGCTGGTGTTAAGCCAGGGATAAAGGTATTTTTAGACTTGACCCGCAGCTACGGTTTACTCCTGGCTGTTGGGTTAAGTAGTAGAGTTGTTACCTGACCCACAGTCACGGTTCATTCCGGACTGTCGGGTTTGGTTATAATATTGTTATCTTTATAGGGACCTTTCGCTTCCTGTGGTGATCATGTTGATCCCCAGGAGAGTGTTCGGTTCGTTCTAGTCACTGTGAGGTACACTTGTTTTTAATAGATTTTATTTTACTTAGCCTTTTGTTAGGCTGGTAACTGTGTTGAGCTAGTAGTTTGAGCTCAGTGTCCTGGTAGTGTTCCGGTTAATTGTTAAAGTATGTTCTGTGTGATCTACCTGCAGGTGGTGGAGATGTAATCTAGCCAGCCTGTGGTGAATGCTTTGTATATAACTTTTCTTTGTAAAGTAATTTATTTGTTTTCCTTTTTCTAGGACGAAGTCCGAAATTGGGTGTTTTGTTTGATGTAAAAAGTTTGTTTCGTTTGGTTCTGTTTTGTGGTAGTTTTTATCTATTCTTATTTTATAACTTTGGGTTCCATGCAATAAATTTTATTAAATTGTTAAAAGTTTAGTAGCTTATTAGTTAGACTAAGGTTAGGGTTTAACCACTGTGGGTTCTACCACGGTTGCACTGACCGGACAGATTAGTTGGTTAAGCCTAGAAGGGTAGATTTTAAGGTATCCCCCCCTAGCAGGGCTTACACATGGCTTTTGATTTATTATTCAATTATCTATTATTTTTTATATAAATATTTCACAATGTACTTGTATTGAAGCCATATCAATGAGTCACCTTTTTTTCACGTTACTAGCCTCGGCCGATTTTACGGACCTAAACGATAATTACCCAAAGCGGATGTCCTCAATGTTTTAATGTAGTGAGCAGGTATTTGTTTTTAGACAATTAAAAGTGTTAAAAAAATAACTTTAATTCCCTCGTTGTCTAGGTGTCATTACAATACTTGGCTCAGTAGTCTTCGCGACAACAATCTTTCAAAACTCAGAGCACACGTCGGCAACATCTCTGGGCTATTCTTTTGGGATGTCTGTAGCTGGGGGCGTATTAAAGGCCATCGCTGGAGTACTTGTTTATATTGGTGGACCCAGGACAGTAACAGCTGCTGCTTTTCTGATTGACCATCAACAATTGAGTGGTATTAACCCCCCACCTATCTACACACCCCCAACAGAGTCCTACTTGATTGCTCAGTATACACCCCCGCCTGCTTACAGAAATGAGAAAGCTTCACCGCCATCTTACTTTGAGCAACATAATCTACTTCCCCCGCCTTATGAAGTCTTAACAGAGGAGTCATCTTGATCTATTTGCAACCTACCTAAAAGTGCAATATTTTTCATCTTCTCATTTTGTATTGGCATACATTTTAGCGACTTTGTAATGACTACGGCATACCAAAACTCCTACCTGTATGTAAATCATATGACAATTTAATAGAATGAGGTTTCCGTGTTACATGGGCTTTAGAGTTTTCTAAGGATAGTCCAGTTTCTACTGAGTGTAATGAAACTGCCACCGTCAAGACACGATTTTCTGGTTCAATCATCTGGCATTTCGCTAGAGAGGACATCAAAACTCTTTTTTAAAATGTTTTTGAAAAATATAACAATTGAAGCTTATTTTTATTTTAATATTTAAAATTAATAATGTATTCTATGCAATAAAATGTGCAAATGCAGAGGACTTGAATATATTATTTGGTTCATAGTGAAACTCATTCCCTACAATATCAGATCAGTGGCCAAACTAGACCCGCATCCCCGCAAAAATAAAATAAAAAAATTAGCCCCCCCCCCACACACACATTTATAGGCCATATATATATATATATATATATATATATATATATATATATATATATATATATATATACGAACAAGTGAATTATGGTCATATATATTTTAATGTTATACTTGCTTGAGAAAAATATGTTATAAAATAGTAACTGGTCAAAGCGCAATGTGCTACACGTTGGGGGTCATCCATAAATGAATTCACGCTTTTTTGACGATTTTTACCTCCCCCTCCCCTCCGTCACACGTCGTCACAAAAAGCCAACCCCCCCCCTAAAATGACGTCACATCTCAACCCACAACCCCCCTCAAAATTGCAGTTAATTTTTTTTAAACATCGATATTTTTCTAAAATCTTGTCTAAACTATTACAATTTATTAAAACAGTTATCTAAAACGCGAAATAACGTCTAAAATTCGTTTTCTAACATTGCTTTTTTATAAGCCAAAAGTGTGACGTCGCAACAACTGAATCCCCCCCCCCTCCCCCTCATCACACATCGTCACAAAATTACGGACCCCCCTCCCTCCTACCAGTGTAACGTCATTTATGGATGACCCTTGAATGATATTAGTGACAAAGCAAAGAAATAACTAATTAGCTAAAAATCTAACACATTTAAAATAACATAGGCTAGAAAAAACAAATTATATACATACAGTATATATAAAACTGTAAATAAAACATGTAAAGTACTGAAAAAAATTCATAAAAAACGTTTTAATAACAAGCTTTTATGTAATGATGCACTAAAAAGTAGAAAATAAATTATACACTACTATTTAAATTACTCTAAAGAAAAGCGTGGGTCACTTTAGTACTTTAGTACCTATTGGATACCTTTACTAATATTTGAGAAGAGACCCACGCTTTTCTTTATAGTACTTTAAATAGTAGTGTATAATTTATTTTCTACTTTTTAGTGCATCATTACATAAAAGCTTGTTATTAAAACGTTTTTTATTAATTTTTTGTGTGTACTTTCCCTTGTTCAAACGTGATATGTGAAGTTCATTGTTTTATGCGTTCTCGGCACAACCATAAACACTTTTCCGGTTGTATTATTAAACATGTGTTTGTAGTACATTCGAATATGCCCTTATTTTTATTTTCCTTCTTTAAGTAAAATTTAGTTTATGCATTTAAAACATCCAACAGATTATTTTCAACAGAAGCCCGTATCTTTAAGTTACACAAACACAACCACAAACACAAAGAAAACACAAACGCAAACAAAAAACAAACGAAAACAAATCCAAACGCAAACACAAACCCAACCACAAACCGAAACCCAAAATCAAACACAAAGAAAACACAAACGCAAACATAAACGCAAAGTACTCACAGTCTAGCCCGGGGCGCCAAATCGCACCATGCTGAGGCGCCGGCAGAACCGCCTGATTCAACTTAGTAAACTACTATAGCATCCCAGCTTAAGCTTATTCTTAGTCTTAAGCGCTAACTTAAACGAACGTAGGCGCCATAGCGAACACGGGAAGGCCCAGGAAGCCAAAAAAAAAAAACACTCTGTCAGGGCACCGAAGGACGCCGGATTCGGCTCAGTTAAAGACTATAGATAAAAGTAAACATAGAGTACATTTAGGAGCTTGCTTCTAAACTGTTATTGATTTTAAAAAATATGTGTGTTCATCTGATGGAACTTTGAAGCTTTAAAACATAAACATAGCTCAAAAGATTTTTTTTCTTCGATCTTGCCTTTACAATCGAGAACGTAGTAAAACTTTACACTGCTAAATGTACTGTTAAAACGTTTGCTAAAAAAATAAACCGGGAGTGATCTCCCCTAAACTTTTTCGAATATTCTAATATAGGCCCTAACACTACGGGGGATGGCAACTCGGGACATAGACAATATTTTAAATCCATTTTTAATTACTTGTACTTTTTATAGTAGAATAGAATCTCGTAAAAAAGAATTGCACACCAAGTGAACGCCAAATAAAATGTGCATAATAGTGCGGGATATTATTAGTACTTTATAAATTCACATGCGTTTTTTTTTGTTATTTTTTGAGAAATCGGAAATAGCGTAAATTAGTACTTCCGGTCAACGGAAATTAATCAAAATTAGAAAGAAGGCAGAGAAATATATCTTTTACTTACATGTGAAATTTCATTTATCTATCTGAAATAGTACTTAAGTTATTGGCTTTTGAAAAATTCAAAGTAGAAAAAGTTCCACTTCCGGTTATCGGAAATCGCTCAAAAGTTGATACGGATCTACGATTTTGATATAATTTTTTATATAATATGAAATTTCATCAACCTAGCTATAACGGTACTCAAGTTATCGTGTTTACAGACAAACATACATACACACACATACATACACACACACAGACATACGGACAAGATTGCAAAAGTATGTTTTTCCGACTTAGGGAGGTGTAAAACGTCGAGATTTGCAAAAATATCGATATTTTTTTTTCACCGTCCGTGTCTTCAGCAGCCTTGGGCCTGAATGACACGGTCACAGACACGAACTACCCATAATCCCATGTCACATGACAAGGAACATGGGTAAAATTCGCTCACCGAAGAACAATAAAAATAAACCGGGAGTGATCTCCCCTAAACTTTCTCGAATATTCTTATATAAAACAACAGGGGGTGGGAACTCGGGATATAGATCTAGTTTTTTTAATCCATTTTAAATACTTAAACTTTTTAAAATAGAATAGAACCTCATAGAAAAAAGTATTGCGCACCAAGCGAACGCCGAATAAAGATGTTCATAATGGTGCGCAATATTATTAGTACTTTATAAATTTAGATGCGTTTTTGAGAAATGGGAAATAGCGTAAATTAGTACTTCCCGTCAATGGAAATTACTCAAAATTTAACAGAAGGTAGAGATATAGATCTTTTACTTACAGGTGAAGTTTCATTTATCTATCTGAAATAGTACTCAAGTTATAGGCTTTTGAAAAATTCAAAGTAGAAAAAGTACCACTTCCGGTTATCGGAAATCGCTCAAAAGTTGATACGGATCTACGATTTTGATAAAATACTTATATATGAAATTTCATCAACCTAGCTGTAACGGTACTCAAGTTATCGTGTTTACACACACACACACACACACAGACACACACACACACACAGACACAAGGACATACGGACAAGATTGCAAAATTATGTTTTTCCGTATCAGTGAGGTGTAAAACGTCGAGATTTGTAAAAATCTCGATTTTTTTTTTTGCACGATTACAATTCTTTCTCTATACTACGTATATACGAGAAAGTAAAAACTACATCAACAGTTGCGGTCCCACAGGGGCCGCAACCCAATAAATTATAACTTATAATTTATCCCCCTTCGCTGGTAACAATCATATGTGTTACATACATATGATGAAATTACAGAAGCCAACTTACATAATTAAATTTACTATTACTGTTTTACGGTTCCTTCAACTACACACATATTCTCGGAGGCTTGAAAAGGAAAATTTAACATTAATACGTTTTTTAGCAGACACGTTTCAACATCGAATTATATATATATATATATATATATATATATATATATATATATATATATATATATATATATATATATATATGCCTATACATATATTATATACACACACTTTTAAGTGCACCTAACAATGAAAATACATACATCTTTTAGCCATTGTTGCTAAACTATGTCTCAAAAGTGTTACTTTATGCCCGATAGATTTAATGTCACCAGTACTCTCTTATAAAAGTGATTAGTCACGAGTTAGATTATCACACTCCGCAAGGATGGGGTTTGCACAACCGCAATGGCGCGGGGAGCCACCCCTTATCGGCTTGGATTTTAATAGCCTATTTTTATTTTATTTCTAGTAGGGGTTTCCCGGAACTTTAGTTTTGCAACTTATTATTGATTATAAGAACCAATTTTTAGATACTATGCATAAATCACTAATTAAATTAAATTATTTTTGCAGGCCTACGACAGTAATCTTTTGTACTGCTTGTTTAATCTAGTGATTCTTTTTAGGACTTTTTGGTTCGCGATGTTTGTTGTCGGTAATTACTGTTACCAGAATTAGGCCTTGAGAGAATTAATAGTCAAAATATAATAATAATAATAGATTTCTATATAGATCTAGTAGTATATAGATCTAATACTAGAATCTAGATCTAGAATCTATACTCAGTATTCAGGCCTATCTATACTGAAGTATACTGGATCTGTTCGACGAAAACTTGAGTCTAGGTATAGATCTTCTAGATCTAGATCTATTATTTCTAGATCTAGAGATCTATTATTAAGATTCTGTTAATTAAATGAGTTAAAGTTAAATGGAACTGGAACATAATGATACTTATTTAATATTTATTTAACTTATAGATCTAGATCTACTTAAGAAACAATGAGCAGCTACTTAGAAAAATTAAATAAAAAATGGACCATTTTCTGGTCCAAGGCACGGACCAGATCAATTTTTATCCTAATCGGATCTGCTGTTGGAGTTGGGGCTGTTTACTACCCAATTATTCAGGCGATGTTTTCTTCTTCCAAATTATCTGAAGAAGAACGATCTTATTACTCAAAAGATAATTTGTATCCCAGTAAGTGAGCTTTGTTACATGTTAGGGACTACGATATCCGTCAAATTTCGGCCCGGAAACTGCGCGACCGCCGCCATACTAAACTTGATTCTGGTTTCCGTCCGCCAAAACATAGCTCACTATATAAAGCCAGATTCTCATTTCAAAATCCTTTAATTCATTCCATTTGTCATAAATACTGATGAAGGAATAATTAAGTTTTCTATTGAGCAAGCTTTTTCTCGTCGCCATCGACGTATCTTTGAGTAATCTACAGTTCTTGGACAGGTATGTAGAAATATTTAATTTATTAAATA